CTCTATTGTGTGCCCTTCAACCAATTGGAGTATACAGGAATCCTGTAGATAAGCTGAAATAAAAGCCTTTTTTCACTGTTCACATGCCCATTACTTTATTAACATATGCTGGGATGCCAATGTGAAAACAAAGATTATTGAAAAAGATAAGGCTTAAAATGTTGGGCTACATTGATGTGATATAACCTATCTACTTCAGAAAACTCAAAGAAGATTCAGTGATGGCAGCTCACACTGCATCTCTATGGACTAAGAACCACTTCGAATTCCAGAGCCAGAATATGGAGTTTATACTTCACTACCTTCTGAGCTCTGCCCTGAAACCAGTAGGAGTTGTGCCTTAGTAGAGTGCATGATTAATTCATTGTGCAAAGAACATAATATTTTTTGGCTTTAAAGACTTGGTATTTCAAAATGTCTGTTTAAATAAAAGTCTACCTACAGATTTTCTTGAACAATTCAGTGAAGAAGAGGATCTCATGTCATCTGACACATGCCTCAGACTCTCTTTATAGGTCGTCTGTATCACTTATCACCTCCACTTTATAGATGGGGAAACAGTGGCGAAATGACCTGTCCATATCATCTAGAAAAACTAATGTTGAAGCAAGGAGTAGAATCTAGTTTTCAGTGTCCCAGGCTAGTGCATTTATCTATTTGCTCTCACTAGGTATATGTCAGTGTGTATGTATGTATGCTTTCTAAAAGAGCAGCTATTCTGTACTAGTAAACTAGGGTCATTAGTGTGTAGACGTTGACATGATTAACCAATGAGCCTGGGCTTATCGATTAATCCGAACGACCACACACCTCCCCTCCCCAACCCCACTTGCTGCCTCTCTATTGGGAGGGAGGCGGGAGCTGGCTTTTAAGCACAAAGGTAGCAGCACGGAGGCGGCCAGCTTCCCACAAGCACCAGCTCCTATGAAGCTGCCTCCCCTTGCTACTGCCTCTGATAGAGAGGCAGCAGCGGGGTGAGGGGAGGCAGCAGGAGCTGGTATTCTAAGTATTACGATGTAGGAGTTAAGTACATAGGAAATGAAAGAAAACAAGTAATTTGATGATCTCCAGATTTGGAAACTATCAGAGTATTCACAGCCACTTGCTTTATTTATACAGTTGTGAAACTACCAATTTTTTGTCTTAAATTGTCCCAGCTTTGAAATCAGTTAGTCCAAAAGACTTTAAAGTAGATTAATTTACTACATCTCCCTTAGATTTCCATTGCTAACTTTGGAGTTCACAATCACTTCTTCATATTTTTAAAATGCTTTCCTGTAGTGTATGAAATACTTGAACAAACAGGGGAAATTGACTGTACAGTAAAGAAACTAGAACAAGAATGGGTTTTTTTCCCCCGCTCTAATCTATTTCAGCTATAGCATTCTTAAATGTTACTGGTAATAATGATAGGTAAAATATTTTGAGGCAGAGGTGAGTTAAAAATATCATTGTCATTTGTAAAGGTAACTTGCACAGAATTTTCTTAAAAAAAAAAAAAAAAAGTGGTTCCCTCTTTTTATGTAGCATTTTTTTGAAAGGCTGAACTTCATCAAATTCTTGGTTTAGCTGTTTCTGGGCCCAGTTCTTCTTGATGAAATTGTAAGATTAAAGTTTTTGTGTTTTGTTTTTGTTTTGATTAGCTTTGCCAAATTAAATTTTAGCACAGACACAGTGTCACTCACTCGTGGTAATTTATACTGTTATAAAAGGAGAGGTGTCCGTCACTGACTGTCACAGAGAACATTTGAGAAGACTTGAGCACTTTATAGGAGGAGGCAGGCTCCCAACCCCACCTGCAGCAGGCCGGGCATGTCCTCCCCCCCCAAAACACCATGGAGAAGGGAAGAGCGCATGCGCCCCAGCATCCCTGTAGCAGTGGGGAAGGAAGAGGATGCACAACCCCAATCACTTCCCCCCACCCCTGGGAGAAGGGAGGAGGCCCTGCGGCACTGCCCAAGCCTTCCCGGCCCCAGGAGCAGTGGAGAGTCTGGAGAATGCATGGCTCCAGCCTTCCCTGCCCCTGAGCAGCGGGAAGGGAGGAAGCAACACGTTCTGAGCTGGCCCAAACGTCCCCACCCCCGGCAACGGGGGAGGGAGGAGGCCACATGTACGTAGGAAGGGTAATGATAGTGCTAATAAAAAACCCTCCCGTAAACCAATCAAGTTAATTTTCCCGGAAGCTAGGAAGGACAGAAGGATTTTTTTCTATTTTTGATACTTGACAGATTCTCAGATAACATTATATAAGCACCTGGATAAACCAGAAAGAGCAAGCCTTTCTTTTCTAGAACTGTTTTGGGATCAATGTACTATTTCCACAAAGAGAGGGAAAACAAGTTGTATATAGGGTTGCCAGGTTTCCGGTATTGACCTGGATGGTCCGGTATTTTCGTCTCCTGTCCAGTGTAAAAAAAAAAAAAAGGAAAATACTGGTTACCTACAATGTCCGGTATTTTCTGATTTTCTTTTTCCCCTGCCAGGAGGTGAAAATACCAGACACCTGGCAACCCTATGTGACACACTCAGCAAACTCCCCACCACCACCACCCACCCCAGGCCTCCAGACCCCCCTGCTTACCTGGTTCCGCAGAGATGCTGCCTTCTGGCTTGATCAAGAAAACAAGATGGCTGCCAGCAAAAAGCCATCTAAAGATTTTTTCTTAAAGGGTCCATGCTGGTTTAATGATGTTTTATTTTTTCTGCTTAACTCTTGGGTCTCTTCCCCCCCCCCCCCCCCTTTTTTTTTTTTCCCCCACTATTTCTTTTTCTC